CCTTCGGCTCGGGTCATGGTCCCGGGGTCCTGGGATCGAGCCCCGCGTCGGGCTCCCTGCTCCGCGGGAAGCCTGCTTCTCCCTCTCCCGCTTCCCCTGCTTGTGTTCCCTCTCTCTCTGTGTCTCTCTCTGTCAAATAAAGTCTTTTTTTAAAAAAAGTCAGTGATCTAAGCCTCCAACTCAATTGGTTAGAAAAAGAACTGCAAATCAAACCTAAAAAAACAGAGATAGTAAAGAGCAGAAGTCTGTGAGACAAACAGATGCAGAACAGAGAACATCGTCTTCTGTTTCCTCCTCCTCGTTATTTACAGCAGGGAAAATGAATACAAATGAAGGCACTACACTTAGACGCATCCCCACGGATAAACCCCAGCAGTACGGTGCTGAGCCAAAACTGCATATCACCAGGAATTCATATTGGTTATGATTCAACTTGCGAAAAGTTTAGAAGGAGGGCCCTTTAAACATGCACTGTTAGGGAGCCGTCAGCGGCAAGCTCTCCAGGAAAGCAAGAAAAGGGTGAGTCCGGACCCCCGGGCTCCCAGGGAGGGAGGCACAAAGGAGGGATCACGACTCCACAGAGCAGCACTGATGCCGATTTTCCTTAAGCTGTGCCCGGGCTCCAAAGCCCTTCATTTTTATTATTTCTTATCCTATGTTTATGTGCCATACTTTCTATGTAGAATATCCATTACAACATTAACACCTCTCGAGAGCTGTGCTATCTGAGAGCCCGGGAAGGAGGAAGCAAAGGGGATGATTTAAGTACAAGCCAGCTTGCCCCCTATGACTTGCCTTATGTTCCCATTACAGGTTCCATGAACTTAAAAAGGCAGCATTTTAAAACCAGCTTTTATTTTATTGTTTGAACACTTACCCAGCTCCACAGGCAACATTTTGATAGGATTTCTTTCTAAAAGCAAAGTTTTCAAATGCCTTTAAAACAAAACAAAAAATACATAATTTAAAAAGCAAAAAATGAAATGACCATCTCCAAAATACACCATCAAATTTCTTCCCCTGCCGCCTCTTTAAGGAGACACCATCAATGCAGGCAAACACGCTTGCTGCCACATGTGCGGCCCACGGATGTCTGCAAACGTGGCCCCGGGCTCAGCAGTGGGCCAGGCCTGCCTTCTCAGCACAATGACATTCAAGGCCAGGGGATTCTCTGTTGGGGGGGCTGTTCTGAACCTGTGGGGTGTCCAGCAGCATCCTGGTCTCTACCTACCAGTCCAACAGGACCCCTTCCCCACGCCATGACAACCACGAAATCTCCCAGCCTTGCCAAATCTCCAGTGGGGGCAACACCGCCCCGCAGGGGGACTGGTGCTCCGACTGCTGATCTCCAGTGTTTCCTGAGGTGTGCGGTGAGGGATCCAGCACTCTGACATGCCCTGTGAGCAAGTTTCCTTGGTCAAAATGCTTGGGAGCCTTCTGCTGCGCTGCACACCCACGCTGCTGGGGGTGAATAATTTGTAGTGAAGGATTCTGGGCAGTCTCAGACCATGGCAAGGAGGAATAAGGGGTGTTTCTCCATGTCTTTGACTCCAGATCCCTTCCCTACTAACACCTAGTAACATCTCCTATAAAATCTCGCACAAAATGTACCGTGGAGAGATAGGATACAAGGTGCCCACTAAAAAGTAACTAACTGAATGATATGGAAAAATGAATATATCGTGTTAAACTCTATCTTGCCCCTTTTACCCTATTCTGCTTCTTTTGTTTTTCACATTTAATTCTTAAGACTGTATCATACACAAAGGATCAATTTCTTTTTCTCCTTTACTTTTTAGGGACCACCAGCTGAAATCTGGTATAAAAAACGCACAAATACCATGTTTCTAGCCCAGGGGATGGGCGTCCAGGCAGAGGGCAAGGCCCCTCCCACCCCGACCACTCTGTATCTGCATCACCCTAGGCCTCCCAGGACTTTGGGAAAATTGTTGAATCCACCGTACTGTTTCATCTCCAGGGACGGGTCTGCCAGCCGGCACACCACAGCAGAGAGTGGGTCGGCTGGCTAGGCATGCAGGGATGCTGACCGTGTGGGGCTGGCTGCCTGCCACGGTGGGGAAGACCTCACAAGCCCCTGGGGAAAAGCCCCCAGCTGCCTTCTCCTCTATCGTTGACCTCAGCAGCCCCAGGAAACCAGCAGGAGGACCGAGTGGCTGGAGTGGGGTCCAAGCTGTGCCCCCTGGCTTCAACCCTCCTTTCCCAAAGGAAAAGAGAGGAGCAGCTGAGCACACCTACAAATCCCATAAATGAATCAACACTGTGGGTGGAGGGAGGCCATCTCAAGCCTCATTTCACCTTCAAAGGTGAAAAAACTAAAATCCAACATCACAACGGACCAAGGTCCCCAGGATTTGAAAGGAGAAAGACAATTTCACAGACATACAATTGAGAGTTCTATTATTCCAGTTAAATTAACTTTAATTTTTGGATTGGCAACCCCAAAGGAAAATCAGATTACTTGAGGATTAGCAGTTTTCTTTTCATTTACTCCCTTGGATTTTCCTTTTTATTTGAAATTTTAAAGGAACAGACTTTATAGATTAAACTTTTCTTGATGTACACAAAGATGAATTATTTCAATGTTGTCACTTCAACTACTGCTTTTTGGTTCAGCCCCTTTTAGTTGTGTAATACAAAAAACAGGCCTGGGATGGTCGAGCGCTTGCTCTGCGTAAGGTGGACAGATGCTGCAGACTGGGCAGCAGGTGGGCAGGTGCCCTGGACTTCCCCAACAGCAGGTCCTGTCGGTCAGGCTGTCCCTGCCCACCGGCCTGCTGGCCTGGGGGTCTGCTGCGGTGGGCGGAGACCACGGCAACCAACCATCCACCAGAAAGCATACCAGGGCAATGATCTGTTTGAATATTCTCGTGCACACTTTGAATAATAAACTGATAAATGTTGACCCCGTAAATCCCATCAGTAATCCACCGGTTATGTCAGCGACTTCCCGCTGAACATACACATTCACGAGCTGAGTCACAGCTGCTGGCTTAAGGAGGCATAAATACTGACGTACACACGTTCTCGCTCTCTCTGCTCACAAGCTCACCCGGCCAAGACAATGGGGGGAGAACATTAACACTGGCATTGCTTTAATTAGGCTTTTTGGAAAGTTTAAGGCTTTTAATAAGCCCATAATTACTTAACATTTCTGATTAATGTGTTTCACCTCTTCAGCAAGCTGATCTAATTTTAATGATATAATGGGCTATAAATCACATGTAAAATTATATCTTAAACAATACTAAGCAGCTGGCTTTGACTGGCAAAATCAAAACTGGAGGACTGTAGACTTATTTTATAGGAAAGAGCAGTGCTTGGGGAATGGGCTTTTGTTTATTTACCCTTTGAGTAGCAATCCGTCTCCTGGGCTGTGTGAGCACAACTCTTGGACAGAAAGCACTAAATCATCCTCAACACAGAAGATGAGGACTTTGGGAAGAACAAAGCCTTCCCAGCCCACCTGAACCACAAGCTCAGAAGACTCACGAGGCCGTCAAGCTGGAAGGGACACGGTGGGCGCAGGCCCAGGGAAGGCTCGGCCACCTGCCACACAGCCCTGGTTGGGGCCAAGGACACAGTTCTGTGCGTCCAGTGGTACGACTCACGGCAGGCGATGTGCTCTGCAGACCCCAACAATCCCAGGAGCTCCAGGAAGGCGGCTCCTGGCTCTGATTCCCCCTGCCAGAGACCCCAGCTTAGCATCAGAAATTAGCTGCTTCCTTGCAGAGCCTGAAAAGGCACAAATGATTCACAGAGATTTTCTCTCACTGTGACATGTGACAAAATACTCACTTCCTAAAAATTACTCTGAACAACAGGGAGCTACAGGTCAGGCCAGTGAAGGGCCTTATACAGACCCCCAGTCTGATGCTTCCCGGCGACCGCACGGCTCTCTGCGGACACGGTTGCTCATGTAGGAACAGGGGGCTGCCCTTGGATACCTGTCTTCCTCCCATGCCCTACATCCAACCCAAAACCCACGGGCTCTCAAGTGCCCTGCAGCTCTGCGTTGTCAGCCTTGCCCAGGCCGCTGCCTCCTAACCGGCGGCCCGCTACCCTCTCCTTACAGAGTGAACTCAAAGCCACGTCGAATTCCACCCCTCTCCATTCAAACCCTCCGTGACTCCCAAGCTCTTCCAAAATGAAGCCCAACACTGCAAGCCCTCCTGGGTCCCGGCACACGGGCCTCCTCGCCGTCCCCCACATCTGCCCCACGCACACCCCCATGGCCTATGCGTGTGCTCTCCTCTGCCCAGGAGGCACTCACGTTAAAAGAGATCCTACAGTGTTTACCAGGAGGGTTTCAAAAGGTCAGGACACACTGACAGGGAGGGATGGGGAGCTGGAGGCGCTGAGGTCAGGACAGGAGGTGGGGCTCTCCCGGGGAGGCCGGCTGACCCTGGGCTGCCAGCCAGGGCCACGTGAGGAGGAGGGAGGCACGGCATTTGTCCCAGACGTGGGGGTGCCAGGAAAACCCGGGATCAGAGCGGCGGGAATGTGGCCGATAACAGGCATTCCTTACTTTGGGGTTTCCAGCTTTCCAAAATGGAAAGCATTTCTTGTTATTTATCAGAAACTAGTAAGTACCTGCAGGCCCTCAGGAGCAGAGAGGCTGGCTGTAGATCATCAGGCACATGCCCGATCCTTCCGGCAGCTTCGCATGATGAGAGTCAGAGCTGGAACCGGATGTTGCAAAGACCTCACTGTTGGCCCCGCAAAGGTACTGTGGCTACCAGCATTCTTTGTGCTATTAAATATCCTACATTATAACTATAGTTACGTGCGTTTGGTACATTCAGCCACCGCATCTATTAGCTGGCTTTAAAAATAGCGTTAAATGCTTCTACACTGAAATCAAAATTCAATCAGGAATTGCAACTAAGCAGCAAAAGAACAGGCACTCAGACATTTTAACACATGATGGTTTCTTAAAATCTGGAAATACAAACATACCACTTACTTGTGAGACCCAATCCCAGAAGGAAGCGCTCTGATTCTGTTATAGCGGAGGTCCAACCAAGTAAGGTTTGGCAGTAACTGGAAGAAATCTTTAGGAATCTCACAGAGGGCATTTCTTTGAAGATGCAATTGCTTCCAGGGAAAAGAAACAAGAATGTCTTGTCAACTATACTTTAAAACATGATACATCCTAGAGCATTTCCAGAACCACAGGCTTTTGCACTCATACATGTCAAGTGAAAAGAAAGCCCATAATATCTTACTCTTAGCTTAAACAGCAGACAGGAGTCACAGAGGAAGGTACCAGGGTCCCTTGCCCAGCTTTTGGGGCTGGAGTGTGACTCCCGGGCTGGCCCCGCGGCTCCCTCATGGCTGACGGCCCAGCCTCTCCCGCTGCCCACAGCACTTTCTCTGCAAATACCCTTTAACACCAGACCGACTCCCCCAGCGTTTCAGTCCCTCTCCTCCTTCCTGGGCCCCACACTCAGTGCCTCTCGGGCTCCGCTGGGCGTGCCCCTTCCCTGGCGCCCATCACAGGCAGCCCGCGGCAACTCTGGTCAGTGGACAAACCGCAAGAGCCGGGTCTGGTCCCAGGGACTTGTCCCAAGCCAAGAGTTCAAAGGAAACGAAAGGACAAGTGCACGTGGCTGCTGACCCCGGTTACCATCAGCAGCTCCACAGAAGCCATCCGCTGTCGTGAGGCGTACGAGGGAAGGTCCACGTCAGCATGCGTGGCACTGACTCCAGCCGTGTAAAAGGTACGCGCGTGAGTCCACAGTCACAGCAGGGCACGATTATGGGGAAATTCTTTTTTAAGTAGGCTCCATGCCGAGCGTGGAGCCCAACGCGGGGCCTGAATCCACAACCGTGAAATCGAGACCTGAGCAGAAATCAAGAGTCAGACGCTCAACTGCCTGAGCCCCCAGGCGTCCCCGATGCTGGATCTGCGGCGATATTGTTTCTGCACGAATCTGCATGCCGCGTAAGCATACCCAACAGCTCTACTACCAGATGACAGAGCACAGATGTTAGGAACACTGGCCCAGAAGCCAGACTTCCTGGGTTCAAGTCTAGATTTGGAAACCTTATGAGCTGTATGACTCTGAGCAGGCTCCCAAAGCTCCCTGGGCTTCAGTGTCCCCCCTGTAAACGGGGTCACAGGACCCACCTGCCGCCGTGACTGAGCAGCACTGAGTGCAGCCTGGTGTAGCCAGCCGCCCCATTGGCCACAGCGTCACGACTCCCAGCTCTGCCTCCCATACCGTCCGCCGAGTCCCTTCTCGGGGTAGGGCGGGAGCTTTACCAGCGCATGGAAAGTGAAATCTCCAGCCAGCCGAGGCGCGGCCAGTCACCCTGCTGGCCGCGGGCATTCTCTGGGACGAGGTCGGGTGATTATGCACACACAGCGTGTGCGCACCCCGACATGGAACGGCTCTCGGCCTTCGCTGCAGCGTGGGCTCCAAGCTTCTCAGGCCTCCTCTCTCTCAGGGCAAGCTGGCTCCAGTGCTCAGCTCTGAAACCACAGATCCTAGATGCCAGAAAAGGCAGGAAGAGACCGCGCTGCTCTTTGCAAAGGTCTGTCCCCGTCAACGGCAAGGGGGCTGCGCCGCAGAAGCCCACCCTGCCTCTTGGGTCCGGTGGGGCTGCGCGAAGACGGCCCTCCTGTGCTCCATGAGTGCACTAGTCTCTGGACGTGCGACTGGTGACTCCAGAGATCGCTGCTTCGTCTGCACACTACCTGTAACCCACAGCGCCGAGGGGCCACCTCACTCCATGTTTGGTTGCCACGGTAATAACATTTATAATCACATCTCTGTTTTTGGAGAGGCATGAACAGTTATGATGCTTCTTTATTAAGCCTGAACAACAGTTTTAGGATTTCCTCCTTCTTCCTTCATGTGTGGAGGTCCCATAAATCTCATGACGTGTTGGGAGTCCTTGTTCACGGTTGGGAGTGTTTGCCTTCAGACTGGGCGGCCCTGATGACACAGGAATTCACTCCAAGAGGTCGGTGCTCAGGGAAGAGAGAGCAGGGGCAGTGCCAGCCATGACCGCCAGCGCACGGCATGGGACACACGACAGCAGGGCGACTGACATCCCAGTACGCAGCTCTGTGCAAGCGCTCCGAGATGTCAGCCAACAGCCCCACGCAATGTGTCCGTGTGTCCTGCGGATACCGTGCTTTACACGCGTTACAGTTCCACTCTTGTAATAACCCACAAGAATAGTCTCATTCTCACGTTGCAGATGAAGACAAACGAGGCTTAAGGAAATTACGTGAGTCCAAGGCAGCAGGCACCCAGGCCCTGCACTCTTGCCCCACTCACGTCAACACTGTGCTCTGACGGAACCTTATTCTAGAAACCCCAGGGAAAGAGACAGTACCTGCTAGGTTAGCAGCTGGTGGGGGTTGGGCGAGGCACCGGGCACAGGGGAAAGTCAGCATGTGACGTCAGCAAGGCAGGGCTGAGAAACAGCATTTACCTGTTTTAATACTGCATGGGAGCTTTTAGGGGGAATGTTTTAAATAGGAGATCAAGGGTGCTTTCGGCAGCGGTTTCTACCATGGGCTTTTTGGTGCTTAAGACTTTCCCAAGAAGAGAGGATAGATATCACAGTCTGACCCCACGAGCTATTTCCACTGGCTGGTCCCCATACCAGAATTTCTCATTTTGTGGTGAGCAGCACATGAGACCCCGAGTTAACCCTCTTCTCTCTCATCCTAGAAACTCTCTCCTAAAGAGAGGACTCCAAATACAGCCACTTATGTCCACTCGGCAGAAGCACAAATGCCCTGAGAAATACCCCACTTACTTTAAGGTTGGGAATTTTAAAGATCTCTCCTAAATGGTGAAGACCACTTTGACTCAAGTCTAAAATCGACGAGGAAGACAAGATGACCCCCTTAACACCCTTGTGAACCTCTTTGGAGGGGGAAGCAGGCGTGCTCCTAACTTGACCAGCGTCGCTCTCTGGATCAGCCGTCCCCGGGGGAACCTCGCAGGACCTGCTTCCTTCCATCTGTCAGCCAGGAGGAAACAGTGCTCCGGGGACCTCTGCTCATCCTCCTTGGTCTGCAGTCACCTGGAGACAGGGAGGGGAGACACAGCAACATCTAGGTGACCTGACACGTCCTCCCAGGGGGCACAGGGTAGCTCGGTAGCAGATACGCAACCATTTCACTTGCTTACAAAACCATCATTTTTAATAAACAGTATCATAAATCTGACATTTACGTTTAAAGGAAGGAAGGAAGGAAGCCGGAAATCAAGAAGGTTCTGACTGTTATACTCCTCACTTTGTACCATGGAGTTCCAAGATTTAACTTTTAACTCCTGGAAAACACAATGATGCAAAATAAGAATGACTATTTTAGGGATAAAAACAAACCAGAACGTTTCAAAGTCTGTAAACCAATATATTCCTTCCATAAAATGTGAGTGTGGAGGGGCTCCCAAGTTTGCACTGTTTCTGCTGTGGTTCTGAGCTCCTCGCACTAGGAGTTAAGCTCCCTGTGTCCCAGAATCCCTCCAGTTTTGCCATTTGGCTCAGTGAGCAGCACTGTCAAAATAGAATCTTGAATTTCAGGTGCTCAACAATACTTCGAAAGTAGTTCAAGAACTGCTGCTGCCCAAAAAGCTCTTCCAGCCAGGCATACACGTGTAATTTCTAAACAATGGATCCAGCAACAATAATCCGCACTGGAACTCGTCCTCGCATTAACCCAACCTCCGGGGCTGTCCCAGGACTGGTATAGGTGTGGACACAGCCCCTTCCCGTTTGGGGGATGAGGAATGCGAGCACTGGGCTAGTTCAGGAACTGCCTAAAAGCCGAGCAACTAATGAGGGAGGGCCAACCCACAGGTGCACACCCATGGGCCTTTCCCGGTGGGTCCTTACCTGTGAATCACGACTGTGAAGGGAGGGAGGGGTGCAGTCAACCTCCTACACACCTCCCAACAGGGGGAAAAAAAATCTCAAAACCGAGCGTGAACAACAGGATCTAAAATAGGGCGGAGCTGGCTCCTTGAGGGGTGGAGGCTGCGACGCTGTCCCCACCCCCCGCCTCATTTTCCCCATCCGCGCCATGCCGGGTTGGTCGGACCCCTTGGTCCTCAAGTTGCAGGACTGAGACGCACAGCCTTTGCCAGAGCAGCCGGACAAGGCAGTGGGGGCCGGCGGGGGCACCACCTTCCTTCTGCTGCC